TTGTTATATCCTACTCATGCATTATTAGCATTATTGACAATAGTTAAATATCTCCACTACATGTATGATAATATCAAGAATGTGTTTATTACAAGTTATTCTTTCAAAAAAAATCTTGCAAAAATTCATCAAAAATAATAGATATCACACATTTATAAAAACTGTTTGTATAAGATGCATAGGTACTTTACTAATTTATATCAAAAATTGGATGGTACAAATTTAATATAATCTTATTTTCATATTTTTAATTTAGATAGTTCAAATGACTAGTATATTTTAGAATCAATTTGGCTTCATGCCAAATAAGGCAACTACATAAGTAATTTATCTATTAAGAAGATTAATAAAAAAGTATCAATATAAAGGTAAAGATTTATAAATAATTTTTATTAATTTGGAAAAAATAATGAAAGTGTCCCAAAAAAAGTGCTTTGAAAAGCCTTGAAAAAAAAAAGCAGAGTTTGGATTGTCTACATTAGAGCTATAAAAAAATATGTACAGACAATAACTAATATAAGAATGTTCGGCAGTGAAACAAAAGAATTTTTTATAAGGATTGGATTACATTAGAGTTCATCATTGATCCCTTATTTATTTGACCTAGTCTTAGATGTTTTGACTAAGTATATTCAAGAAAAAATTTTCAAATGCAAACCTTTTGTGGATGTTATAGGTCATATTGTAGAGACAAGAGAAGATATTAACTACAAAGTTGAGTTATGGAGGAGAATATTGGAGTTAAAAAGTTTCTACCTGAGTAGAAGTAAGACAAAATATTTACATTGTAATTTGACAAGAGGCCTGTCAGTAGTAATTTGAAAGTAAAATTAGGAGATCAAATTATATCTCAAGTGAAAAATTTTAGCTATTATGGAGCTATTATTCAACGTGATAGGAAAATTGATGGGGATGTTGTACACAAGATATAAGTTGGATGATTTAATTAGAAAAAAGCTAAAAGATTTATTTGTGATTTAAAGGTACTTAAAAAAAATTAAGCAAATTTTTATTGCATTGCTCTAAGATCAGCTATGTTATATAGTAGTGAATGTTAGGCTTTAAAGGACAGCAAGAGTATCAAGTTGGAATACCAGAGATGATAATATTGAGATGGATGTATGAATATACACGTAAAGACCATCTATATTATATGGGAAAAAGTGAGCATAGTGTCTATTGAGGGGAAAATAATATAGAATTGTTTGAAATGGCTCAGGCATGTATAGAAAAAACCACAAGAGGTACTGATGAGAAGAGTGAAATGAATAATTTTGAACTCTGTAAAAAAAGATAAAGGAAAGCCAGAGGGAGAAGTTGTTAATAGAAACCTCTTAATTAACAATATTTTTAAAAGTTTAATAAATGATAGAGTATAATAATATGGTATAATTTATATAACTGACTCTACATAATGGAATAAGACTTTTTGTTGTTGTTATTGTTTCATATTTTTAATATTTTAGAAGTTTAATAAATGTAGAATTTTAATTAAAAATGATTTATTGACTCTCATTCGATCAAATACATGAATTTCCCATTTAAATTTAACAATTAAAAAGGTTAAATCTAGACAATTGAAATTGAGTTTAAACAATTCATATCACAATACAACAACGACCACTATAGTGCTCCTCATCATAATAAGGACCAAAATCCAACCGAATGAGGGCTTAATTAGCACCTGACTATCCACAAGATGAGACAAGTAAGGGTGTGCAAGGATCTAACTAGACCATGTTAATGCCTAGCTTGGGATCTGGTAAAATGCCTTCGAGATAGACATTTTAGTCCTTAGTCTAGTCCAGCCTAATAGTAACCCGATACCAAAGCAAGCTAGACTTTGTCCATCAAACTGGTAAACTAGATTTGGTGTATCGGGTCAAGAAAAAAAAAACCAGACTTGGTGTATTTTAAAAAAAATAAATAAATAGAGTAAGAAGTTTGACAAATATATTACAACCATGAAAAAGATCTCCAATCAAGAATCACATCCAATGAGATCCAAAGGAAATCAATAGCCAAATTTAATAAGCATCATCCAAAGAAGTTTCCTTCATCAAAATGATCATCAGAGAATGAAACTAATAAATAAATATAATTCAAATACATTGCCCCTACCTATAATTTCATTTTTTAATGAAATGTCCGTCTTAAAAAAAAAGCAAAGGTTAGATATGGAAGACTAATAGTTATAAGCAAACCATACACATGTAATTGAAGGTTGAGAAAGATTCTTTTTGCAAAAACGCCTTAGTCAAGCCAAAACCATTCAATAATGCTTTTTTGCTTTTTGTAAGGCCTCGAGACAAAAAATTAACACCTCCAAATACAAAAATTTCTACTCTATGAATGTAAATTTTCATGGAGCCTCTCATATTAGTGAACAACTAGGAATCCTTCTTACAGGAAACCTTGAAAAATACTTGAGAATTTCAATCATACATGAAAGAACTTTTAGGCTTACCTTCGCTCCACTTTTGGATAAGCTAAATTCTTGTTTGTCTTCTTAGAAGGGTCGATATCTAAACACTGCAAGGAAATCCATCCTTATAAAATTTGTTCTTTAGGCTCTTCCAAGTTACACCATATTGACTATGCTCTTTCTTATCAATGTTTTAGGAGAAGTGCTCCAAAAACTCTTTGGGATGCACTTGATGGGACTAAAAAAATATCATTTTCTACCTTGGCACAACATCACTATGGATAAAAAAACTAGGGGCTTAGTTTCAAGAAGGTTAAAAGTCAGAACATAGCTTTCATTATGAAATTCTATTGGGACCTCATCACAAAACCTAATTGTCTTTAGGTTTGTGTCCTACAGGATAAATATAAGTATACCAAAACCTTATAGTTCAAAACCCCACTACTTTGCCCTACACTTAGCTTAGTATGTGAAAAATTTAGGACAAACTTATGACTCAAATGGGATGGAAAGTTGGTAAAGGGAACTAAATTTCCTTTTAAATTTTGACAAATGGTCCCCTCTCCCCAAACCCCTTATAAATTATGCGTATCCTAAAACTGATTCTATTCTTCATGCAAGAGTTTCTAATTTCCATATGAGCACAGGAGGGTGAAACTTCAAGTGATTAAAATGATAGTTGCGCCATGATGTGATCAACCTCATATCCCTTATCTAGTGTCCTAATCCTCTTGGTGATAAAGATGTTATTTATTTGAGACCGTCTAATAATGGTAACTTTATTATAAAATCTGCGTATAAAGCAACTAAAAATCAAGATCACCACACAAAGTTTTATATTTAGTGGAGGATTTGGAAATGGCCTAACTACGAGAAAATTAAATACTTTTCATGGAAAGCTGCTTAAGACGTACTCTAAACCAAACTCACTAACGACAATGGGAGCAGACCTCATCAATGTATTTGTCCCTTTGGTTTAATATTCCTGACTCTCTATTTATATCCTGCATGATTGCAAAAAAGCTAGAGAAGTGTAGTTAAAAATTAATAATACTTCTAAGATTAACACCTTTTTCTCTCTATCTATGCAGGATTGAATAATTTGAAATGTAAAAAATGATGCTGGGAACTCAAAACAAGAACACCTTGGCAGAGGCTCTTTGCTCAAGTTTCTTGGAACATATGGAAAAGCAGCACCTCAATATTCTCTAAAGAAGATCATCAAGAAATTGATATTACCTTTTGTTCTACCCAACAAATTCTAAATGACCTCAAACCTTAGTCTACAACTAACCTCCTAAGTAAGGGAAGTGAAAGATCTAAAGTTAAATGGAACTTCCCTAAAGCAGGTTAGGTCCAACTCGACATCCATGGTTTAGCAAATATCAATGGGGCTGTTGCCTGTGGAGGCCTCATATGTGACAATTAAAGAATTGAATTAAAGGTTTTTTTTCAAATATCTCGGATATCATCTAAGTACAACTACCAAACTCTTAAGTATCTTAGAGGAAATCAAGCTTTGTTGGAATGTCAAACTCACCAAAATTCTCATCTACTATGATTCTTTATAAGCTTTATTGTTCATCCAACACAATTTATGCTAAAATCACCCCCTCTCTAAGATCATTAATAGAATTAGAGACTTTGCTATGATAAATTGGATTATCACTTTTGACCACGTTTTCATATAAGCAAATAAATGTACTGATCTCCTTATTCATTAAGCACCAAGAGATAATTTTGATGTTGTTATCTATAATGACCCCTTTTAAGATGTAGAGACATAATGATTTTTTATATGACTTAATTTACTTGTCCCTTACATGATGATTTATATGTGACTTTGTATTCAAAAAAATAAATACTGCAAGATCAAGGAAGAAAGCAAAAGTGAAAAATTGAAGAGAGTAAAAACATCAACCACAAGAAGGGAAAGTTGAGAAATAAAAAGTAGATATTTTATTTAGTCTATATTTTTTAAAAAAATAAATATAGGTACCTAGACTAAATCAAACCAAAAGGTCAAAACAATCAATCCTAAACCTGTTCTTGCCCGGTGGCTTAATCTAGCGCACTTGATCTCATCCCGTTTCAGGTTACATTTTTTAGGACCAAGAATAACCAAGTTGGGCTAACTAGATTCCGAGTTTTTATAAATGGTTCAAGGTACAAGCAACTTACTTGTGATAAACATTTGTTTGGGATTTTTTTTTTTTCAATTTCTTTAATGAGACAACTTTCAATTTAATTAAACAACCTATGGACTCAATAATACATACACCGAATGTAATAATTATTACACCCACCACAAACTTCAAAAATCATAATTCTCAACTTCATGAAATAAATCACTCATCCCCTCATAAACATAGTTGACTTACCTCTTTTCCACATCTTAATCATTATATTTTTATTTGTATTGTTTTAATCCCTTCCAACAAGCAAACAAGCCCCTAGTCTAGAAAAATGATAGACGAAGTCGTGTACATACAGATCGAAGCTACTTTAGTTCAAGGAACATTAATTAACCATTCCTCCGAAGACAGCTAAAATTTAATAGCACTGCAAGATAAAATGATGACAACCAGAAAGGTCTCCATCTACATTAATCGAATTATAAAGAAAAGTACAAAATCATATTAAATAACACGAGTTTGCTTCGCCGATGTTATGTATATACTGTCTATGCATTCATTTCTAAACCTGGAGGCTCAAATTTTCCTTTGTCTAGTGAGGCTCACGCTATTCCCAGTAGCTCCGCCATTGATTTCAGTAGTAGCCAACATTTTTCACTTGATTTTGTGTCTGCTCCCCAGCATCACCTTGACCCAAAAAAACAAGTCGACCTGCATTGTACATAGTTTTGTTTCATCAAAAGCATTTGGAAGAAATTAAATGACCTATTGAGCATAAATATAACACGCTCGTTTCCAAATTAAGTTAAAAATAACAGACAAATAATCATTACATATATCGCATTCTGTGTGATGAAATATGGATGCTATAGTGTCTTCCATCATCCAAATGTGCTAAACAACTTTGGAGACACAACATACTTTAACAATAGAGCAATTATAGCTCCAGCCATAGAAAGTGTGAGGCAAGTTAATAATTATGTGTGTTCGTTGCGTCCTGGTAAATAAATGGAATATTTTAGTTGTGACACAGCATGCATGTCCACAGAAGACAGCAATTCCTTTGATGATTTGTATACAACTGATTTCTCAACACAATTAACTGCTCTGGATTACCACCACATGTTCTTTCACTGAAGGTCCGAGCACCTCTAATGCTATTGAGGAATATTGACCAAACATCTAGTCTATGCAATGGTACACAGTTACGCATTAGTCAGCTAGGGAAAAACATTAGAGGGCATAACATTGAATGGTTCAAGGCAAAATTAAAAAGTTCTAATTTATAGGATGGATATGAATCCTTCGGAAAATATATGGCCTTTTCGCATGCAACAGAGCCAATTCCCAGTGACTCTATCATTTGCAATGGCTATAAATAAATCCCAAGGTCAATCATTGCGTCATGTTGGGTCATATCTTATGAAACCAATATTCACTCATGGACAATTATATGTGGCATTGTCTAAGGTAAAAAGCATCAATGGACTCAAGATTTTATTGCATGATGATAAAAAATATTGGATCAAGTACAACAAAAAATGTGGTGTGCACAGAAATCTTTAGGAACTTGGGAGATTAGAGCTAATTACGTTTCCAACCCTCTGGTTTTACAATGTATGTATTATATAATTCTTTAGTATTGCATTTAAATTTCCCACATTGCATATGCTAAATGACATTTGCAATGGCTATAAATAAATCCCAAGGTCAATCATTGCGTCATGTTGGGTCATATCTTATGAAACCAATATTCACTCATGGACAATTATATGTGGCATTGTCTAAGGTAAAAAGCATCAATGGACTCAAGATTTTATTGCATGATGATAAAAAATATTGGATCAAGTACAACAAAAAATGTGGTGTGCACAGAAATCTTTAGGAACTTGGGAGATTAGAGCTAATTACGTTTCCAACCCTCTGGTTTTACAATGTATGTATTATATAATTCTTTAGTATTGCATTTAAATTTCCCACATTGCATATGCTAAATGACATTAAGGGAAAGACATAAGTTGTAGGGTAAATCATTATTATTGTAAAAGTCAGTGACTCTATCATTTGCAATGGCTATAAATAAATCCCAAGGTCAATCATTGCGTCATGTTGGGTCATATCTTATGAAACCAATATTCACTCATGGACAATTATATGTGGCATTGTCTAAGGTAAAAAGCATCAATGGACTCAAGATTTTATTGCATGATGATAAAAAATATTGGATCAAGTACAACAAAAAATGTGGTGTGCACAGAAATCTTTAGGAACTTGGGAGATTAGAGCTAATTACGTTTCCAACCCTCTGGTTTTACAATGTATGTATTATATAATTCTTTAGTATTGCATTTAAATTTCCCACATTGCATATGCTAAATGACATTAAGGGAAAGACATAAGTTGTAGGGTAAATCATTATTATTGTAAAAGTCATTGAGGTAAAATATTGGGGTTATTTTCTGCTCCCCGTGCAACGCAGGGGTATTAAAAGCTAGTTATCCCCAACACCTTTCGTATGTTAAGCATTTTTTCCTTTTGACAAGTTCAATGATCATCAGTCCCAAACTACCAAAAATCCTAAATTCTGTATAATATATGCAAACAATTCACGCTGGCCTCTAGTTGCAATTCCGAAAGAAAATCCATCCTTCAGTCAGTACCTCAGCAGAATCAGATATCACAAGCACATTGACAACAACTCAGTAATCTAATTTCTTCAATTTGAAAGCAAGTAACAGAGCAACATATATGAACATAGAAACGACCCTAATCAATTTCTTCAAGTCCGTTAGTTTGCTGGACCCAAGTAACATATAGACAACCATAGTATAGACGTTAATGAGATCTCCAATTCCCTTCTTAATGAATTCATTTCTCAAAAGAAATGCACTAAGCCTAACATCAGCTCTAAAACCCCATGTTTCTTTTGGCCTGAATTAAATCCAGCGTTTGACAATACAAAAATCACTCCCAATGGCATCTCCCATAGCCATTAACAATCTCCAGTAATCCATTTATAAACATTAAAGTCTGGTTTCCCAACATTTCACGTGCAAAAATACCAAATCATGGCAGAATTATCTCATCTCCCATAGCCATTAACAATCTCCAGTAATCCATTTATAAACATTAAAGTCTGGTTTACCAACATTTCACGTGCAAAAATACCAAATCATGGCAGAATTATCTCATCACATTCATCCAGCCAAACAGAGTAGCATAAACAATAGGGAAAACACAACTTTTAGTTCTCTAAGTTTCACACAATATGTAATTTAGTCCTTGTATTCTAATTGGTATTAACTCCGGTCCCTATAGTTTCAAAATGTCAAATAAATGGTCCTTATGCTTTGAGTATGTTAAAAGAAACATAAACTAAATGATTTCAAAATGTTAAATAAATTCAATCCCAAGGTTAGTATCAATATGAGAAGAAATAATCAACAAAAGAACACTGCATCTTACGTGAAATTTTATTTCATGTTTTCAACTTCAAAAAGATTCTCCCTCCCTCTTATTAGGTCCCTAATTTATAATAAATTCAAGTTAATGGTTGTGTATATGAGTTTGAAAGAGAAATGAAGATCAAACAGAGATGCTAAATACAAAATTTCTGAATAGGCTTGAATTGTCATTAGCTGGTTCAGATGGATATTTTTAAAATTAAAGAAAGAAAGAAAGAAATATAAGAATCATTTAATATAACTTCATCGGTTTTAAAAAATGGAAGATGGCTTGTATAACTGATCAACATTCTTGGTTTCTCAGCTGCCTAGTTGCAGCTAACTTCTCATGAGAAAATTAGGTAAACCTTCACAAGAATAAAAAATACTAAAATTATTGATAAAAGGCACCATGATCTGTGGTTTATTATTAACAATCAAAGGAAAAAAGGCACTCAAATATGGAATGGATTTGCTGGTAAGCATGGGATCATCGAAAGAAAGAACCATCAAGTTAGCACTTTAATTGTAATGTGATTAAAATATATACATATATATGGAATGAACAGTTACCATTTCGACGAACCGCAATTTCTCTAATCCGACGAACAAGACCAGTTATTGGATCAGTGAAAACTTTAGTTTCCAGATTTCCCTCCAAATATAATATTGAACTGCAATTAGCAATGCATCAATCATTATCTTCAACATTTATTAACAATAATTCTGTAAGAGATTAAGGTAGCAAAAATATCAGCTCCACCTAGCAACAAAGTCATTTGTTAAAAGACAGCAAAAGCCATCATTGAGATGCAAGATAGTATAGAAAAACATAATCTGATAAGAACTGAACAACGTTTTCCCTACAAAAGAATCAAGTGGCACAACTTGCAAAAGAAAGCCAGTGGCACGCTCAAATTAGTTAACTTATTTCACCTATCAAAGCAAAATGAGCAGAAAATGTGCTTTTTTTAATCCAGGAATCAAATAATTCCTCCACTTCCTTTTATTTTCATCAATGTAGGAATTCTTCCATTAGTCCAGAAGGCACATAAGTATTGTCTCAAAGCAGTAGGGTAACCAAACCAAAAAAACAAAATAAGCATTAAAGTTGAATGTTGTAGCAAAATTTAATTTCCAGTATGCAGTCAATATGAAAGTTTAACCTTATCATATAACTGAAAGCGAGTTTCTCCTTCAGTCAATAACACAAAGATATTGTAGTACGCTCTTAACCCGCTATTGTATTAACCAGCCACAATAGTTAGTGTCACAATACTAGCTGCCATGGAAGAAAACCATCTCATAATTTATTCGCTTTGATGATAATGTCATGGTCAAGCATCTTTGATTCATTAATATTGTCAAGCAGAAGGAACAATACACTCAGACCAACTCATTATCATCATCAACCCCCTTCAGTTGCATAAAAGGAAAACTTTGAACAATGTTACAATCCATAAGTTGAAATTCCTGTACTATCCACAATGAAGGTTGAAACTTTTTTATAAAATATCAAAAAGAATATGATAAAATAAGGTACTATGGCACATGCATGCCTTCACTAATACTTTGGTTGGACAATTTTCCTTGACAGGAAATTAACCTGAGCATTTTACTTCCAGATTTAAAAAGAACCAAAATACCATGCCTTCTTTTAGCAATTCTACATAAATGACCAAACTCGATTTCCTCAAAATTCCAAAATTAGCACATCAGTAAAACCTACAATTCTCCCTCATTGAAATAATCTACCCTGATCCTCACCTGCATATAAACTACATTGCAAGCTTCTCAAAATGTCAAGCAGCAGCAAACATTTGAAAAAGTCACGGAATAAGCGAGATGTAATATTATTATGTACTGCGCATGCTCTTCCATTAAAAAATTTCCCTGTAGAACTTGCCCTTTACTGACTCTCATTTAACAAAATTTAATATCACCTAATGATTAAGATTATAGCCAAAATTTTGAGGAATTCATTTCACAAACCAACGGTGCTTTTTCTTAAAATGATGCAAGAGAATGTACTTCAAGTTAATGCAAGACGGTATCTCGGGATTCTTGTATAAACCTGGGAAAGACATGTTTCATGACGATATCTCCCAATTTCTGAGGATAGATCGAAACCCGATGCCACTGGACGGAACACCGGTTCGCATACTCCCTGGGTTCCTCATTATCCAATGGCCTTCGGTTATTGCGAATCCCACCAGTTCCCAACGATAGCAAAGTCACCACCGTGCCACTTCTCAGCCTCTTCTGCAGCGGAGGCTGCCCTACCATCCCCACCAATATAGCCTACAAACTCAACACATACAAAACTCACAATGAGAGCTTAACCCTTCAAAGCACAAATTGAAACCAGAAAAAGCAACCAAAAAATTCAAATGGCCTCAACGTACCTTATAAATGCCAACGTCGAGGCCATTCTCGAGAGGCCGATCATAGACAACCCTTTGTCTGTAGGAGTCCAGTGAAGAAGAGTCGGGTGAAGAAGAATGGGTAGAGGGTGAGTCGATATCCGAGTTAAGGGGTAGCTCTTCCAAATCGAAATCTTCTTGGGGGTCAGAAGAGGGATGGTTGGTACAGAAATGTTGTGAAAGATGAAAAGGCGTTCTGTGGATCGAAAGCAACGAGCGGTAGAGCCTCCTTGAGAGGAAGGTGATGGAGTGAGACATTTCATTCGATTTTTTTGAAAGGACGAACAGAATCTCAACTTTGTGGACCGTTGCGGACTCAATCTAAAGGCTCAAACCCTAAGGTAAGGTTGTGTTTGTTCAAAGAAGGAAAAGAAAAGCGGAAGAGGGGAGGGGATGGAGGGAAACCTGAAAGGGAAGGGGAGAAAAGTATTTTAATAATTTTTTTTATTTGGTTTAGAAGTGAAAAATAATAATAACTATTTTATCATTACATTATTTTATGTTAATTTTAATTTTTAAATTTTTTATTCTATAAAATAATTTTAAATTTTTAAATAAGCTTACATTTTATTTTTAAATATCTTAAATATATTTTAGAATTATTAATATAAATCTATAACATAATTTATCAATTATAATATATAATAATTAAAAAGACTTACTAACTACAATACAATACAATAATAAAATAATAATATTAAAATTAATATATAAATCCAATCTAATTGAAAACATAATTAAAAGTAAAAAATGATCAATTAAAAACTAAATGATAAAACTAATGTATATGTGATATATTACATTGAGAGAGAGAGAGAGAGAGAGATTATATAAATAGGTTGGGTTGGGTCTGAAATAGGCTAGAACGTAGGCCCTTATCTTATTCCCAACCCATAGTCAATATGTATATAAAAAAATTAAACCAATTATAATAATAATAGTTTTACAAAAAAAAGGGGCTGCATTTAGGGAGACCACAATTTTTGACATGGTTATTCAGTAGCTTCATCTTCATAAATGTTACCCAGGAGGCCAAAGATGAAGAAGCAAAAAATAGAGTTGGAAAAACAAATTGAGCCCATAGGCTACCTCGTTTAACCAGCAAAATTTAATGGGTTTGATTAAGTAAAGTGGCCCATATTTTAAAACAAGTTAGGTTAGCCTAACCCGCAAAATTAGCAAGCTAAAACGGGCTAACTTGTGAGTTAAACAAGCTTGCCCGTGAGCTAGCATATTTTTTTAAAAATAATTCTTTATTTTTTAATCACATTATATCTTTTTATAAATTTACAATAATGATAATATTTCTCAAATATATAATTTATGACTTCCAAATATGTTATTTACATTTGAAATATAATGTAAATTTTTTTTGCCAGTTGCAAATAAAATTTTTGTTATGGTTTGTAAATCGATGATTTATTAATTTTTAAAAAATATTTTGAATATATATTATTTATTAATCTCATAAGATCTATTGATTGAAATCATAAATATAAATCCATTGAAAAAAAATAATATGAATTTATATTCAAATTTTCTTTTTTTAGTGAGAAAGATATCACGTATAGGCGAGAAGATAATTAATAATAAAAATCTAACAAAATGAATTTGCTTGATTGAATTCTATGTTTATTTTATTTATTTATAAGTTCTTTAATTGCTAATTTTTCTTCAAATGTGAAATAAATATATATTTATATTATATAAATTTTAAATTGTTAAAAAAATTTGATAAATTTTTACGGGCCAGCCTACGAGCTAACCAGCTCGTCAGAAAATGAGTTGGATTAGGTTTTTTAACCCGTTTTATTTAGTAAGCTAGCCCAACCCAACTCGCAAAAATATCAGCTCGTGCGAGCTAGCTTGCCAACTGACCCATAGCCCGTTTGCCAAATGCTAGTAGAAAAGGCAATGTAAGTTATGGTCACATCAATGACCTCTTGTTAGTTTAGATGATTCATTCTGTTCCTTTTGTGTTACTCTGGTGTAACATTTTCCTTATTAACCTGACACTTTGCTAAAATATGAATTAAACTATACTATTATCAAACCATGGTTATAGACTTTAACCATTTATTAAAAGACTAACCATGGTAGAAAGGAAAAGACAAATTAAAGGTATATTATGGTTTAAAAGGTTTTGAAATAAGTATTAGAATATTCACTTTATAATCAAATAACAACTTCATTTAAAAATAAAAACCTTTAAGATTTGGGATCCCAAGTTTAATAACTTAAACTTTGAAATAAAAAAATAATTAAATTTAAACATAGTAGAAACATATACAAAAGCGTAAAAATCATACTAGATAAGCTAACAAATCAATTTAAGGATAAAAGAGCCAATAACATTTCTAGCACATTATGCTGTGGCATAAGGCACAACAAGGTACACTTCATTAAAGTTTGGAATTACGCCATGACATAACATTTTATGCTACGACGTAAAATGCAGAACCCATGACAGTAATTGTTAGAAATTGTGCCCTAAGACTAATTATTGTACTATGAATATTTTTATTTAATGAATTTTTCTTTATTATCATATTAATTGCATGCTGACTATAATAACTATATCATTAAATAAACTATAGTGATTGTCCTAAATGTTCCTAATAAATTATCTATGAGGGATCATAGATAAAACAAGATTAGTATGACTTTAACTGATTATAGAGATATAAATCAAAATCATAAGCACTTGAAAGGGTACAAGATGCTAGACCGAACCCGCTATGAGAAGGCTACATGATAAAAGTTATAAACTTATCTCAAATGTAACCATGTTACTAAGCCCTTTGATCTGAGATCATCATGAATTCTTACATGATGATTATTAAATTTTGACCTAGTCAAAAGTTACCTTTAATCGAGTGATTATAAAGGTTATGATTAAGTTTAGTGATATTTATAAAGAGAAATATGAATGGTCAATATAGATTTTGTCCTTCACATTAATTGAAAAATATTACTTGGCCTATCGATGAGTAAAATTGATAAAATGTATGGCTATACTATAATGAAAAGGGTTTTTCCATTATTATAATTAGTCCACTCAGAGATCCATAAAGTAATAGTCAGATAAAGGAGAATGACAATTCCATATTTCATGCTTGACTGAAATATAGGGTGACAAAAGAGATATAATACAATTATATAATAGATTACATCAGATCATCAATCTCTATATGAATTGGGTTACCACAATGTTTTACTAGAGGCCACTTGTGACTTGTGGGCTAGTAGCATTATTGGCCTACTGCCAACTCATATAAGCTTACAAGATTACGCACAAGAATAGTCCAACTCGAGTTATAATGTCAAAGTTTATTAAATATAAAATGTGTCTAAATTCAATAAATACAATGCTTTATCTAGGGTGAATGAATTTTATATGTGTGTGTGTAATATGATATGTATATCTGATATATTATATTATATTATATTATATTATATTATATTATATTATATTATATTATTATGTTAGCTTTAAATTTAATTTATATGATAAATTAAATTTAATAACTAATATGACATAAAGAGATATCATATCAATTCTATAATTTAAATTTATGAGATAAATTTAATTTTATTTTCGCTAGATCAATATATGATTTTTAAAATAATTATGAATTATTTTTGAAAATTCAAAAGGAAGATAAAAACCTTAATCTATATATAATATAGAAAGGGGACGAGTTTCTTAAGTGACGGAGTCTCTTGACAATAAAACTTTGAGAGCCATGAAAATTTCCTATAAAACAAAAGGAGCGTCTAAATTGACAGACAGTTGGATATTAGATATAGAGAGCACTAGCATGTTGTTCGTGTTGGAAAGCTGTTCATGTGGATACTGGTAGGAGAAGCACATCTACGTTCTCTTGAGATCCAAATACTTAAAGAAAACACATGAGAAGTTCAAAAACTAAAACGTAACTCTTCTTTTCATCTTAACTTAAACGAGTTTGATTGGTTTGTGATCTTGATTGGGATTTTAATTTTAATTTTATTTTTTTACTATGCCTCCAAATCCAAAAGTAACATGGTGTCATGGCAAATTTTCTAACCAAAATTTTAATGCTCCCTAAATTCCTATCCGACGTTCGATTGAGATGATCTAGGTATCTAAAGAAATTTCTTCTGAAACTCTAACTAATGGCACTAATTTTATTTCCAAACTTTGAACTAGTCAAACTAACACATTTGCACCTTTAAATGACAGCCTGGGTGTCTAAAATTCACTCTAAGTCCCAAAAGCACAACCTAACACCTACATCACACTCAATTGACTTAGGATAACTTATGTAATACACCACAACAACCATATATCTTTAAGTTTAGACAACTAAAATAACTCTCATTAACTCCATTTAAGTCAGTGGGTTCGGGCCCAAAGCTCGTGAGGTTTGAAAATCATTCTTTAACTGCAAACCCTAACTTAAAAATGGTGTAAAAAGAAAGGGAATGGTAAGGGAGATTTACCTTAGTGATTAGAAGCTCTAAATCTCCCTAAAACACTACCAAAATCATGCCTTAGCAAAGAGAATCACAAGCCCCTTCATTCTCCTCTTTTTCCTTTCAGTTTTCACGCACATAAATGCCCTCTTAAATTTGATTTCTGACATTATGCTATAACATAAATGCATTATACTGCAGCGTAATGCATAGTGGACTAAATTCTAATTTTCTCTCTTCAATTTGAGCTTATGTGGCTTAATTCACTTATGAACCCAATCCAATGACTAAAACCAAACCCAATAGGCCTATTAGCTATCTCTAACTATCCTCAAACCTGTTTATACTTAAATTTATATAATTACCCTTTATTAGCTTATTAATCAAGGGGATAATTTTTATGATGTTATATTCAGAGATTAACCCAATAAAATAGCTCTATTAAGGATTCAAAAAACAGAGTAAAAATCTTCAAGTTTATACCAATAAGAAGTGTTTGATACCGGTATGAATATAAATGTATGACTATGAGAAAGACTGAGACTTATATGGGTATTAAGCAACTCATACCAAACTGAACATTGTAAAAGATGATATTTGGATACATTTCATTCATGTATGAAGAAGTTTTAGATGGGTATAAAACTTCAAATGGATATGAAGTACATTGGCACTAGTATGAAACAAGGATTAGTAAGACAAGATTTATTGTAGTATCGATCGATAGATTGGGGTATCAAATGGTTGACATTGGTATGAAATCAATGATACCATTATGCAATAGTAGTTTAGGAAAGGAAGTTCTATTTTGATATGTCTTAGAAGATACCTTTGAAACCAGTATGAAGCAATATGTTCATGTATGAACAAGAAAAACTCAGCAATAATTTTTTAATATATTTAAGGACAAGCTAATCTTGTTAAAAATGAAAT